TCAAGGCACCGGGCGAGAGAGAGCAAGAGGAAGACAGAGAGGGCGAAAGCACCCACCGTGAAGCGCTTTCAATCCCACAGGTTTTAGGTTTACCCTCGGGCCAGTCCGATCACCATGCCCTCCGGCAACTCCTCTCCCTCCCCTGGAGGCCCTCGGCGACCCCCCGAGAGGGGATCGGAGGCGAGCACCCGCATCAGAGACCGAGAGCAGCGACAGCAGCAAGACCAGGCGGGCGGAACACTTTTTCTCCCTGCGGCCTTGCGCTCGCCTCGCTTGTCTGCATGTCTTCTGCATGCCTTCTGCGCATCCTCGCTGTAAGTAGGACGGGGCTGGCACGCGCAAGCTCCAGAGGGGAAGCCGGACGAATTCACGCACCCGGAGGCACCTCCTGCCTGTCCTCGCACGCCCCTGGGGGGGCGCGCGCGCGCGGGCACCTCCGGAGCGGCAGCGCCTACGCGCCTCCCGCCTCCGAACAGGGTGTGTGCAACAGGCTGAAATTGCGGCGAAGGTAGTCCCCGATGCTGAGCGGCTCGTACTTGGGCTCCTCGCCATCGCGGCAGATGCACTCCACTTTCGGATCCGAAGTCGGGTGCAGCGGCAAGACCTGCGTGCTGAAGTACGGGAGCGAGATGCGAACCGAATCGAAATTGACGTTCGCATTGACACGGTGAATCGTGCTCGTGAAGAGGTCATTGCTCCACCGGGCCAACTGATCGCCAATATTCACTGTAAATGCACCTGGGACTACTGGCACAGGGTGCCACTGGTACACCTTGCTCTCCTCAGACATCGTGCAGACTTCTAACCCTGGAGATGTCGTCAACAAGATGGTGAGCGGGCCCCAGTCCGTGTGCCCATCGCATCGAGCTTCCTCGGGAGAAGGCTGGCAAGGCCAGGACCACGCAGCTTTCATCAAGCCTCTGTTGAGCCCTATCCGATTGAAGAGGTACTGCGGATCAAGAGACCGCCCGGTTGCCTTTGACAAAGCGAGGGAGAGTATTTCCAGCATCACCTTCTCTACCCGCTGCACTTCGGAATAGTAGCTGTCGACATGGTGGCTGAATCCATCGACGAAGTCTGGGTAGCTGTTCTCACCGTATGCTGAGCCGCCGAGGTGTTCTGGAGGACCGAACGAGAAGCACTCTCTGAGACAGGCCGGTCCAGCGCGGCCGAGTGAGACTTTGACATTCTCGCTCTTGTATGGGACGTAACCACGCTCGGTTCCGTGAAAGGACTTTGAAACGCATCGCTGCTTTTGCTCCACAGGGCTTCGAAAGAAGGTTTCGAGGGCAATAAGAGCAGAATCGATGATGTGTTGAGGGACCCCATGGCCTACAACGTTCATGAAGCCTGGGTGTTGAGCCGCAGAGAGGACCTGATCAACCACTGTATCTCGGTCAGCTTGCGTTGCCCTACTGACATGCACAAAGCAGGATATGTCCACCAGAGGTACTTGGGCAAGCGGTGGCACATTTGCAGAGGCAAGCTCAGCATCAGCCTCAGCAATCGCGCTATTGATTCGCTGCCACATCTGACGGTGCCCATCGTCCACTGGCTTTGGCGCAAACCCTGCAGCATCCCCAATTGCAGTCGCCATATTGCTCCTTCAGGAAAGGACCGAGATGTCAAACGGCACAGGCCAACGACTGGATAGCGCCAAGACAGCTTGAACCGACGGACTACAGAAGAGGACGGGGACCGTACATAGACCTCAAGTTCGAACCCTGTGGCGCAAGATGCCCTCCCCAGACCCTCCAAATTGATTTTGAGGGTGCGGCAGTAAAGAAGGCATGGGTAGACATAGTATTTGAACCCCTAGACCACCATCCATTCTAAAATCAACATTGAGTTCGGGGGCGGGGGGTGTAGAACATCCCCCTCACGTGTTTGAGGGCGGTGTGGCAAAACGACGGGGAATGATATGATTGAAGAGGGAGGCGGCGGGAGAACTATGGGGAGGTCGGAGGAAGGAGGAGCAGGAGAATGGTTCAGGATGAACTCCTTCTCGCCCACCTGGTCAAATCAACCACCATCATCACACCACCATCATTGTTGTTAGCATAATTCTGGAGCCGCACTGAGAAAGGCCTCATGATGGCCCAAATGGACCCTAAAGGCCTCGCTCGAGGGCCCGTCATCGTTATCCGCCACCGTGCCTTGTGCACATTGAGGCGTGAAAGAATGCCAAGGGCTGCCTGGTAGAGTTTCCTGGTTACCCGAGCTCCCTGCGTGCACCGCAGCCGCCGCAGCCCCTCCCGAGGCCACGATCCCTCGTGAAAAAAACAATGGATCCTCGCTCCCGATGCCACGATACACTGTAGACAACGACGGATCCGCGTCCAGATCTTCTCCAAGACGACCCATGCAGGCAACCAAGGACACCAAGGTGGCCCAAGATGCCTCGAAGACGGCCCAATGTAGCCCTACGGCGGCCAAAGATTGCATCAAGGCGACCCGAAGATGCCTCCAAGAAGGCCCCAAAAGGGCAACCGGAGAAGCC